AATCCCTCCCAAGGCCAAGGGCAGCGCCATCCATACCCCAAACACCTTCCACCAGGTATCACCTTTTAAAGGCTTCCACCTTCCAACACTGGCACATTGGCTTCCAGCAAATGGACCTTTAGGGTACAAACCAGTCCAAGCCATAGCAACAGCCAAGTGTGTGCTACAGGCTGGCTGTCCTCCTGGCTCTGCTCCCTTGGTGTCTTAGCAGAGGGTACTGCAGCCTCTGGGGCTCCCAAAAGCTCCCTACTAGCTCCTAGAAGTGGCTGAAAGGGGTGGGCAGGACAGCCCCCCTTCCACTTCCCCTCCTCCTCTGGCATCTTTTAAAAGGATGAACCCACAGTTTGAGGGCAACAGATGAGAAGTCTGTTGTTCTCAGGAAATTGGATCTGGGCTGTCTCACAGAGTGACAGTAATTAGAGGCCTCGTAAAGTGCCCAGCTAAATAAATTGCTATAATAGCAAGGAGCCAGCTGCCAGCCAGAAGCTTGCGACCACCGTGTGGGGGCTTTGGGGCTGTTCTGTGTGTTGCCCTCCAAGCTGGGTCCTTTTGATAGACGAACTCTAGATGATACAAGGGAGATAATAGAACTTGAAACCTGCTAGATGTCAGATATGCTGAGTTCGTGTTCCCCAAAATAGGAGAATGAATTCTAAGGAACAACAGAGGTTAAAAGTAGGAAATATTTATTGAGAGGGAGATATTTTAGCTCCGGAGAGAGACAGGAGGGGACCCCACTTCACAGGGGAAGTTTTATAGGATCATGAGGTGGGTACAACATGGGACAAAATTATGATCAACCAACGAGATTATTATAAGTATAGTCACTTGGGCAATATCGATCCACTGGGGAAGCAAGTCACATAGCAAGTGTACATGGCAAGAACAAAGAACTTTTTAAGAAAAAGATGGATCTGGAGGTCTTGCTCACCCACCGGGGTGACTGATGTCTATCTGGACTTCAGTAGACCGGGTGTTACCAGTTATCTTGTCCTTTGGGGAAGTATGCAGGCCTGGTCTGCATCTTTATCTCGAGGCCTGGCTTCCAACAGATGTGTCCCGAGCCACAGTCATATTCTTATCTTCTGCACTGACTCTGTCGAAGGCCCAGCCCTTTCTGCCTGCCTAACTAGTGGTCTATAATAACTTACAATAACTTCCACAGGAAGTGTAATGGACCATGTCCGCTTTCAGCTACAGATATGACTCCGCCTGGGCCATCCCTGCAGGCCTCCCCCAGAAGATCACCCCCAGGGAAGTGGTCTAGCAGACAGGAAGTGGACTCAGCCATTACTGCAACTGGCCCATTTTCCTGGTAGCCACAACCCTGAGGAACCTGATGAACCAGAAGGTGGGGAGGAAGTGGTAGGAGAGATGTGAGTTAGGTGACAGGAAGCAATGGCTGAGTGGGATTTGGCCTCTGCAGTGACCTTAAGGACATCATTGGGTCCAGCAGACCCTGGCGGCAGTCAGAGAGCCAGGAGCTTGAAATCCTTACCCTGTTTCTTGTTTGCAGTGACCTCAAGGAAATCATTTGAGTTTTTCTGAACCTTTAAAACCCAGGCACAGAAATACCTAGTTCCTAGGGCTGCTTCAAAAGGAAAGTAAGGTCAAGAGGTTGAAAGGAAGGAGCCCAAGGCCAGGCACCTCGCCAGTGGGCGATGATGTCAACTTCCTTCCCTTTATATCTGAAGAATTCAGGACTTGTTAAGATGAGCGGAAATCACTCTGCTGGCTACTAAGCAGCACTCCGGCCACCCGGGGACGGCCACTCCTCTCACAGGACTTGTGCAAGATGCCTGCCTGCCTGGTGGGTGTAGGGTCCTGTCACTCAGCTGGCCATGCCCGGCCTGCTGAGGTCAGAGGCTTGGAAAGGAAAGGCACACAAAGGTCCTGCTGAGACCTGGACCCCGCCCTTCAGCCTCCAAACTCCCGGGCTTGCATCTGTAGCAGAGACACAGTCGTGTCCACAGCCATTCCCCTTCCCAGAAATAGGGACACCCACAAAACCAGTCCCCCAGCTATGTTGCTGTGTCCTGACCCAGAAACCCAAAGTTCCTGGACCACTCTGACTGACCAGCTGCACATGTCCCTGAAGGCTTAAACCTGAGTTAGGGCCTGCAGGTTGTTGATGGAAACACTGAAGGATCATGCAGGTTGTTAAACACATGGGAACCAGGCCTGGCCCTGAGCTGGAGTCCTTAACCTCATAAACCCCTATCCCAGCCCTCCGTCATGGGCACAGCTGGGGGACACTGCTTCTGTGATGTTCATCTGTATGTCAGTCCCCTAAGAAATTCCAAGGACACACCACACTGGCATTTAGGGCTTCTTTCTTTGGAATCACAATGGTCCCTTCTTGGGATGGTTTGGGACACTCTCCCGCTGAAATTCCCTTACAGCCACTTGGGGGTGACTCTAGATGCATGTTCCAGAATTGGGCAGCCTCACAGCTCATCCTTGGCTCATCCTATACCACAGTTAAAAGGCCACATGTCCTGGGGTGCAGCTCAGTGGGACAGCGCTGGCCTAGCATGAGGAGGCTCAGGGTCTGATCCCCAGAACTGCAATAAATAAATACATAATTAAGAAGCTACATTTGCCAAACTCACCTGTAGCTGGGTGTGACAAACCAAGGTGTTGGCGGGGCTGGTTCCTCCCGGAAGCTCCAGGTAAAAATCGATTTTACTTATTTTCTAACATCTAGCAGCAGCTGCATTGCTCAGCTTGTGGCCTCTCCTCTACCTTCAAAGCAGTGCACAGTGTCTTCAAACTGCCCTGCCTCTCTCTGCTTCCCTCCTCACATCTCTGTCCCTGACTCTCTTCTAGTACCCTGTGATGGCACTGAGTGCATCTGGATGATCTAGAATCCTCTCCCATCTCAAAGCTTCTGACAGCACCACATCTGCCGCACCCCTTTCCCCGCGCCAGTGGTGACCCACAGGTTCCAAGGATAGGGAATGGGCATCTTTGGGTGACTGTTATTCGGCCAGTACAGGAACCGCTTTTTTCTCTTCCCAGATCCGTAATACTGGCACCTCTGTCCCTCCTGACCTTGCAAAGACAATAAACCTCTGGCCGTGGGGCTCTGCTTGGATACAGCCCAGCCTCGGGGGACACACACCAGATCTCCCCCAAGGGCCCTCTCTTGTACACTGCAGGAAAAGCTCGCAGGGTCTTTGGCTTAGCAAGAATCTGGCCGAGGATAAGCCATGGGGCTCCCCAATTCTGGGAATTCTCCTGGAGTTCCACCCCCTTGCCTTGGTTGGGGGCATAGCTCCTCTTCCCGTGAGGCCAAGGGGGGTCACAGTGTCCTGTGTGTAGAGAGACAGTCCCACTCAACAAGGGACCAGAAATGCTCACTGAAAGATGCACAGCAGAGCCATGCACCACTGCACACCTGTAATCCCAGCTATTCAGGAGGCTTAGGCAAGAGGATCACAAGTTCAAGCCCAGTCTGGGCAACTCAGCAAGACTGTCTCAAAGTAAAGTTTCAAAAGGGCTAAGGATGTACCTCAGTGGTAGAGCACTGGTCTAGCATGTGGGAGACTCTGGGTTCCATCCTCAGTACTGCAAAAAACTAAAATTAAAAAAACATGATGTGTAATAAATTGCCCCAGGTGGCAAAGGACGCATCAGATAAGAACAACAGAGGGGCTGCATAATCCCAGCACTCGAGAGGCTGAGGCAGGAGGGTTGCCATGAGTTCAAGGCCAGATTGAGCAACATAGGAAGACCCTGTCTCAAACCAAAGCAAACAAACAAACAAAAAATGATAGAGACTTGACACCAAAGAGGAAACCATCACCAAATCTGGCCTGGAAGGACATGGTCTCTACTGAAGGGAAATATCTGAGATGGTGACCAGAGAGTGGGGATAGCAGTGATGATCCAGGTCGTCAGAAGAACAAGGCAAACGGGGCCCGGCTCTGGAGAGCTTGAGGGCCAAGTCGATGCTGAAACTATACACGGGGCCACAGGTAGGTCGGGGGCTCTGCCTGGCCTTGGAGAAGGCCGCGGGGGGGGGGGGCCCGCGGTGAGCTCCTCCCTCACGTCTCTCCACAGGTACTGAACTCGTCGGCATGCAATCTGACTTTTTTCCCTAATGAAGTAGAAATGCAGACGAAGGAAAAGCAATCGTTTGGAGCCTGTTCAGCAAGTCACACAGAGGACAGGAAGACCCTACAGAAAAGAGCGTTTGGACGTTTCTGATCGGATCTGTGACCGGTGGCACCACCCAGAGCCACCACCAGGGCCACGCGGGACCGCAGAGTAGATGCCTTTACTGTCGGCTGCCCAGGACACCTTCCCGGCTTCAGGTAGCTTCACCCCTGCTGACTTTGGGAACTGTTCCTCCTCTGCTCCAAGCGGCAAACTGTAGTACAGCAAAGCCAGGCATGGGGACACACGCTTGTAATCTCAGCACACGGGAGGCTGAGGCAGGAAGATCTTAAAGTTCGAGCCCAGCCTGGGCAAGTGAGCCACTTGGTGAGACCCTGTTTCGGGAAAAAGAGAAAAAGAAAAAAGGCTGGGATGTAGCATAGTGCGAAGGACCTGGGTTCAATCCTGCCCCGAAGAAAAGAAAGAACGAAAGAAGAAAAGAAGGAAGGGAAGAAATAGGATGTTCCTTCTTCCTCCAGAGGGCCTTCCCCTCTAGCCAAGTTTCGCTCCCTATCACCCTATCTCGCCAGCAGCGGCCCCTTTAAGGCCGCCTTGGAGGACCCAGATTCACAGAGGGCATCCTCTAGCTGCTGTCTCGATGGTTAGTCGCCACTTCCGGTAGGAAGTGCAATTTCAGAGCTACTCCTGCCGGTAGTGGCTAGTGAATCAGACACGTGGTTTATCCGGAAGGAGGGGCAGCCCTCTCTCGCCTCCTGCTGGTCGCCGACCCTGGCCCGCAGGGCGACCGAGGTGGCTCTGGCGGAGGCCCTCGTCGGGCCCGGCCCTGGGACACTGAGACCCCAGGGCTCTGGCCAGAGACCGGTGGCCCCTCGGTGGGACCGGAACTTCCGGGGCTGCTCCCTTAGCGTCTGGGGTTGGGCGGGAGATACAGAGGGCATCGGGCCGCTGGCAGCCACCGAAATAGGCCTAAGGGATTGTGAAGAGGCGCGGGGCCAGCGGACAAGCCTGCAGTGCCCCCCGGCTTTGCGCGGGTTTTCTGGATTGTGTAAGCAATGAATGAAACTGTCTTCGTAAAGCACGTTTTTTCACTCTTTTCCCCAGGGTTCCTCCAGAAAATGAGAACTATCCATTCCACGGCAATTGGATGATTGATTCCTCCTGATGAGTTTTCCAGGTGACCCCAGTTTGAGTGACCCAGGTATGTCCGGCACGGAGTCAGTGCCCCAGGGTGGAGGGACGGTCTGGGGAAAGGCTCCTGTGTGGTCGAACCCGCCCCGGGGTGGGTGCAACCTCGTACCAGGCAGCCCCACCTTGACCTAGAGTAAATTCCCAAGGGAAGCCTTCCCTGGGTTTTGAATTTGCAGTAACAGGTGTGAACATTCTAGCAGCAGTTTGATGATCATGTATGATACTGCAAACAGGACCTACCCAGCGAGGAGAAAAACATTTTGTTTGTTGGTTTGTTTTTGTGGTACTGGCGACCGAACTCAGAACCTTGCACTTACTAAGCAGGCACTGCGCCACTGAGCTACATCCCCAGCCCGAGAAAAACATTTTGAACCGGAGACCAAGTAGTTTTCAAAATCCTGTAAACCGTATTGATGTCATTTGTTTCCTTTAAACGTTTATTGATATTTTTGGTCAGGCACCATACCAAGTATGAGGGATATAGGGACGAGTAAAACAGTCACAGCTCTTGTTCTCAGGTAGCAATAGCCCAGCTGGGGAAACAGGGTTAAATGATCACACGTAAGAGGGTGTAATTCAAGCCAAGCTGAATGCTCTGAAGGAAAGCACTGCCCTCTAGGGATCTATGTTGCAAAGAGCCTGGTGGAAACTGGAAAGCTTTCCTTAGGAGGAGACTTGAGCTGGACTCTGTTGGATGAGTAGGAGTTGGCTGGCAAAACGGGACAGTGTGTGCGAGGGCCCTGTGGCCTTGCAAGTGTGGCTGGTGGAGGAACTGAAGGAAACCACTAGCTCAGAAGGCAAGCTGGAGAACAGTGTAGAACAAAGCCCAAAAGATGGGGAAGGGCCAGACTGCACAGGGCCTGTGGCTCATGTGAGGATTTTGGGTTTTTGTCCTAAAAACTGTGAGATACCACTGCAGGTTTTAAGTAAAAAGAAGATATGTGTAACTCTGATTTCAAAAGACTGCTGTGTAAGAACAAAAGTGCTGTCCAACAGAACTCCCAGTACTGGTGGAAATGGGCTGTCTGGGCTGTTTAGAGCAGCCACAGTGACTGAGCATTTGAAGTGTAGCTGGTGTGGCTGACGTGCCGAGTTTTTAAATTTTAACTCAAATGTTAATACCCAAACATGACTGGTGGCCTCTGGGTGGGACAGTACAGGTCTGCACGTGTTGGAAGGAGTGGTGACCTTTGGTAGTGACAGAGACAGCGTCCAGTTCCCAGAGAACCTCATAACAATTTCTCCTTGGAAACAGTGGAATTTTTAACGTTTATTTTCTTGGCTGTAGTACAACCTGCTTCTCCATGAAGCAGCATCCTTCCTTCTCCTGGCTGTTCATTTGGTTGTCAGCACCCAGATCGAGATGTCCCTATCCACAGCAAATTTAAGTACTTAAAGTGGCCACATTCTCTGTCAGACACCTTGGGAGGAATGTAAAGAAAAGTACAGTCCTCCCTGGGGATGTATCTCAGTGGTACAACCTGTGGTCAGCATAGGCAAAGCCCTGGGTTCAATCTCCGGCACCAAAAAAGAAAAGTATGTCCAGGTACAGTGATACTGGTCTCTAATTCTACTACTCAGGAGGCTGATGCAGGAGGATCACAAGCTTGAGGCCAGTCTAGGCAACTTAGTGATACTCTGTCTCAAATTAAATTTTAAAAAATACTAGGGATGTTGCTTAATGGAAGAGCAAGTATGGAGACCTGGGTTCAATCCCCAGTATCACAAAGGTGGGCGGGTGCCTGATGTTGGAAACTAGAATCCATTGAGGGAGATATCAGTAAATGCTGTGGGACAAGGAGCATTTTCAGTGGGGCCCATCCCAGACATCACAGTCTGGGTGGAAAGTGGATTTCCAGCTTGGGAGAGTGTTCCATGGCACCAACAGTTTTAAATGTTCAGACTCAGTAAAGGAGGATAAACTGACAAAGTGTACTTTCTTTGCAGGTCAGTTTCCTGGGAGATGGGTGCATATGCTGCGTGAAAATATGGTTTCGGTTCTGCTGGTTCTGTGTCATTGTTTTGATTTAGGGCCTTCCAGGTTGGTTTCTTTCCTTGAGACGGGGTCTCTCTGTGTAGTCCAGGCTCACGTCAAACTCATCATGTGGCCCAGGCTGGCCTCAGACCCACAGTGATCCTCTCGTGTCAGCCTCCCAAGTGCTGAGATGACAGTGTGCACCACCATGCCTGGCTTGGTTTCATTCTTCACCATGTGCTCTGTGAGACGGATATAAATAAATGGAGTCCAAACCCAAAGAGTCGTTGTGCACTCTGTGATTTCTAAGCCCAGTGGTTCTGTGTGTGTGTGGCCTCCACTGCTGAGATACACACTCAGTAGCACTGTCTCCAGCTTTTTTTTTTTTTTTTTTTTCTTTTGGTACCGGGGGTTGAACTTGGGTCCTTGCGCTTGTGCAGCAGGCGCAGCAGGCGGTGAAACCACTGAGCTAAATCCTCCCCCCCAATAAATGACTGTCAGGTGCGGAATTCATGCAGCCTGGGGGCCGGGAGCCCAGCACTGCAGGACCAGATGGTGGGAGCTGGGTTCTCCTGGGAGAGCACTATTTTTTTGTGTTTGTTTGTTTGCTTTGGTACAAGGGATTGAACTCTGGTCCTTGCACTTGCGCAGCAGTCTGGGAAACCACTGAGCTAAATCCCCCTGCCCTTTTTTTTTTTTGGTACTGGGGATCGAACTCCGGTCCTTGCGCTTGTGAGGCAGGCGGCCCTCCAGCTGTTGTGGAGAGGGACTTTGCCACCTTCACACCTGGAAGTGTGGGCACTGGAGGTGCTCTTTGACCTCAAGGACCGTGAGCTGTTGGGAGAGACAATGCATGTGGGCAGATGGCCAAGGTCTCAGACCACTGGGAAGGGAGTGGCCCCCATGCCTCTGGGTGGTATTAATGCTTCCCTTTGGGTGGGAGCTGCCAGGAAATGACTTCTTGGACCTGGTCCCACCGTGCTACATCACGGTTACTGGTAGCTGCCCCAGCTTCCTCAGATGCATTTCTAACCCCACACAGGCCCTGCTTCAGCTCGCTGGCCAGGGTCCCAGTGTCAGCAGGGGCACTGCCAGCCTGCTGCAGGGGTAAGCTACTCCCTCCCTAGGCCCTCTCCACCCCTGGCCCAGGGTCCTCAGCAACAGCAGAACCACTACCAGCACCCATTTCACACATGGGTTTCTGTTTTGGTTTTTTGGGGGGTACTGGGCATTGAACTTGTGTCCTTGCGCTTCTGAAGCAGGCGGCAGAACCACTGAGCTACTTCCCCAGCCCCTCCACGTGGGTTTCAAATCCACACCCCAGGAGCTGTCTGCTGTCCGTCAGTCACTTTGCTGTTTGGGCCTCGATTCAGTAAAGTGGGGACAAGGACAGGCAGATGGCCCCTGAAGGCATGGTGAGCAGGTCCATGGTGCGCCCCTCCAGGCCGGTCGCTGTGCTGGAGCTGCTTCAGGCTTCTGGGTTTTACCTTCAGCAGCGACACCCAGGCATGGCGAGCAGTTACTGTGGTCTCTACCTGCTTACCGGCGGGGGCACAGGCTGACTGCCTAAATGGCCTAAATGCACACCTGTGATACTGGGACGACAGTATGGGCCCATATTTCTGGACTAGACCTCTGAGGGCCAGTTCGGGACACATCCTGGTTGCGAGTGTTTGTCCTATATGCAGAACCTTGGCTCCCGACAGCGGCCCCAGGCACTGCCATGTCTGTCCTCGGCACTGAGTCTTCACACAGCTGTGGCACTGAGTCTTCACACAGCTGTGCGTCCCTGCGCCAAGGTCATCCACCAGCTGCTTAGTCTTTGCTGGAGGGTTCAGCTGGAGCCTCTACAATGGGTGTCCGACCTTTTGGCTCACCTGGGCTGCAAGGAGTGATGAGGAATTGTCTTGGGCTGCGTATAAAACGTGTAGTTAATATATATAAACAATAAGACTGCCTTTCTAAAAAATATTTTTTATTGCATGTTTTAAAAGGGCAAGCAGCCTCTGGGCCACTGGAGGCTGCCCCTGCAGTCCTAGGCTTCTGGAGCAGTGACTGATTCGGGCCTGGAGAATGCTAGTGATGCAGGCCCTGCAGGCCCTTCGGGTGGAGGGTTCAGAGCCTGAAGGGCTTTCCTTGCTATCCACCGAGGCTCCCATGAGTCTGCAGTAGGCAGGGACATTCTGGGGAGAAAGAGTGCCAGGAAAAGGGAAGATCACTGCCTGCCTGTCTCTGAGTTCCTGCCGGTTCAGCTCTGCTGAAATTCTGCCCCGAGGTGGCTTTGTACCGTTCATCTCCTCTGCCTTTCCAAGTGACACCGTGACAGCAGCTCCATTGATTCTCCCACACAGTAATGGGCTCTGCTGACTAGCACGCTGGGCGCCCTCATGGTGACAAGGACACCCACACTGCCTAGGAGGCTCAGGAGTGCGCTCCAGCGTCTCCTGCTCAGTTCCCTTCCTGCAGGCCTGGACGTGGTGACAGGGACTTGTCTACTCCAGTGACCATGTGTGTGTTTCAAGTTGGCCACAGCATGTCCTGGACAGGCCTAGGTGGTGACTTTTTGTTCCTCTGGATTATATAAGGGGGTTGCCATGGGCGGGAGTGCCATCTTTAAAAGGGAGAGTGCCTTCCATGGTAAGAATGGATCCTGAAATCTGGGGGTGTTTTTAACTGTGAAAGATCACCGAGGGACACACAAGGCATGTATCAGAGAAAGTATAAAAGTGGAACTGCAGAATGCTTCCAAGTTAGGAGTTTGAACTTCTCTCTTCGTCCACTAGAGGATGTACTCCTACACCAGACTGCTCTCCGGTGACTTGCTACACAGTGTGGGTTTGGGTTTTTTTGCTCTAAAAAAAAAAATTCAACCAAGACCTTTTTTCACCAGAAAGCTATGCAGAAGATTCATCTTTGGGGTGGGGCTCTTGTTGAGGAATTGTCAGCAGGTTCCAGTTGTGCTGGGCTCCCAGGAAGTGCTTATCAGGTCATGAAGCAGCTGAAGCCAGCCTGGGCACGTGCATCTGGAAACGAGCATGTTCTCATCTCCCTGCAGAGCCACTCCCGGGGCCTGCTTTCGGGTCAGTCACCAGGAGGGTTTTCCTGCTGAGGAGTCTAGGGCCATACAGAGCAGTCTGTGAAGTCCCAGCCAGTGGGTTAAGGTTTTAGAAGTATCTCTGGCAAAGAACATTGCTCTTGCTTGAAATTAAAAGGTACATACCACCAGGGATTTAGCTCAGTGGCACAGTGCCTGCCTGGCAAGCTCAAGGTCCTGAGTTGGATCCCCTGTATCAAAAAAAAAAGGTACAGGGCTGGGGATTTAGCTCAGTGGTTTCGCCGCCTGCTGCGCTGTGCTGTGCAAGCACAAGGACCCGAGTTCCATCCCCAGTACCAAAAAAAAAAAATCAAGGTGGAGCAAAGTTAGTACAGAGACACCATGATTTAGATTGCTGATTGTTTTCCATTAGGAAAGTGCTGCTGAATGGGTGAAAAAGTAAGAGTACTATGTGTCATCTAAGCCAGATTAACAGCTTTCTGATGGATTAAACAAATGTTTAATTGAGCACTTACTGCTGGCTGCTTTAGATGAAGGCCTGAACAAAATAGACAAACCGGCTGCCCTCAAGGAGCTACCATTCCAGTACAGGGAAGACAGGAAATAAGTCAGAATACAGAGGAAGAGAAAGGAAGTAGACTAGGAAGAGTGGGGAATGGTGTTTGCAGTTTTAGATAGTGTGGCTAGCAAACACCCAGGGAGGTGACCTTTAGGAGAATCTTAAAGGCAGGAGCTGGACAGGAAGAGCCCTGCATGCTGAGGGGGCAGCGTGCACGCTGGGGCATGGACACGAGGGGTTTTAGAAGGTGTCGGCGCAGTTGTAGGGCCTTACAGTTAAGGAAAGTGGGGGCCTGAGCTCACTGAGCCGGCCAGGCTCCACGCGTTGGGAGCACCGCTTTTCTCTTCGCGGCTGTAGGAGCTCACCCTGACCCATGAGATGTGGGACACGGGAAATGTCTTGTGCATGTGACAGGGAAAGCTCTGGGGACAGCTGGGGCCACCTTACGGCCTCTGCCTTCACTGTGTCCACAAAGCCAGAGACCCCATCTCCACTGCAGAGCTCAGCCCGGGTCTTGTCATCGTTTTGCCCATTTCCACCTCTACAGCAGCCCCGAGGACAGGAACCCTGTACATACTTCATTTTTCCACAAAGGATAGATTTGTTTCATTTAAGTCATTTAAATTGCCAACAGGAAGATTATAAACAGCGAGTTCTCCTATAATCTTTACAAGTGGAAGCCTGTTTGGGCTTTACATGGTTCACGTAAAACAGTTATTTGTTCTGTGTTTCTTGCTAGAGCAGTTATGCAGCTACAGCAGGAAACTAGTTCTGTTACTGCAAATGTCATTAAAGCAAATCCGAGTAAGTCGTTGGAAGGTCACTTGACTCCAGACTGTCAGCTCTGGACAGTTATGTAATGGTTATGCAATGCCAGCAGACCACAGCCACTGGCAAACATTTAGGTTATTGTATTGGGTCGACATAAGACTCCTACTTTCTTTCAACAGCACACCCTTCTTAAACAAACGAAGACTTGGATTTTCAGTGCCAGCTTCCACTAGAGGCCCGGTTAGCCATATTCTCCCTTCTGTGCAGGGCTGTCCCCGTGTCTTGGTTTTCCTAAGTCAGATTTGTGACATGAGTCTACTGGACAACTTGGAGTTTTGTTGTTTTTTGTTTTCTGTGGTTCTGGGGATTGAATCGAGGGCCTTCACGCTGAGCTACAGCCCCAGCCTGAGACAAAGTCTAGGCTGGGCTTGAACTTGCAGTTCTCCTGCTTCAGCCTCCCAGAGTGCCGTGGTGACAGAAGTGTACCGCCGTGCCTGGCGGTTGTCATCTTATATTGAGATGAGCAATGGCAAAGGCACACATCAGGCGCCTTCACTGATGTCCCGTCTTCACCCTTCTGAAAGTTAATGGGAAAGACAAAAAGGAGATATTAAGAGATCAAGGTGAGACAGAGGTTTTACTTCCGGTGACTTGGCATTTGTTTGGTTTTTAATTCTCAGCACCACCACCCGCAGATCTTTCTGTTTCTGAGTAAAGGGCAGCTAGGCCTCCTTTTGACTCTTCTTGGTCCTTGCCTGCTGACTTCCTTTCTGGTGGCTTCAGAGGGTGTCTCCCTGGCCACCCCAACTCCCCTTCCCCACACTTCCAGTGCACCCATCCTTCTGCTTTGTGCTTCGGTTGAAACTGGCTTTCGGGGTTCCCTTGTGATGCAGGCC